AGGAACACAGGGCCATGACAGGGATCAGGACATGCTACTCCAAAATAAGGCACCCTGGCATGATGAGTATTTCAGGTTGAAGGAATGTGAGAAACAGCAGGTGCAGGAAGGACTTTCTGACATTCCTCTGAAGTGGGTCATAAGACTCTCAAGTGAGAGGTCCCCTCCATATACCTGGAGGAAAGGAACATCCCTACTTTCATGAAAGAGGAACACCCAAGAGGAATCTGAATGAACAAGCCTTGCTAAGTCTCCCCTAGTTTACTACACTGAGCTTATACTCATACCCCTTTTGTCCGCTCACATTTTCCCATAACTTTCCACTCTTTATCAAACCTAGCCTAAAAACGCTCAAGGTAACCCCTTCTTCAGGTCTTCATTTCCCTATAAAGGAAATGTCATGCAGAACTTATATTAAATAAATTTGTATGCTTTTCTCTCGCTAATATGTCTTCTGTTATAGAAACCCAGCTGAAAACGAAAAAAGGTATGAGGCCTCTTTTTCCTCTGCTACAGCTATACTCAGGGGCTACCCAGGGCCTGGGGTGGGGGTAGAGGGACACCACCGGCATGGAGTCTGGGAAGATAAAACAGAAGTCAGCCCTCCCACAGGGGCTCACTGTGGGCTGAGCTGGTGTTCTCTCCCACACCCTCAGCAAGCTAGAATAAAATGGAAAGAAAGCAACCTAGCATTTGGGATGGGGAAGATGACTGGTCCCACAAAGGTAGAGAGAGTGACAAAGAGAATCCACTTACACTGTACCCAAGCAAATAAAACGTAAGGTCAATGCAGGTTCCGACGTTAAGCGTGGATTTGACAACAAGAAATGGCATGGAGACTATGCAAACATACACAACAAATGGAAGGAGAGAAAGAAGGGAGAAACTATGGGCTTCCCTGGTGGTGCAGTGGTTGAGAGTCCACCTGCCGATGCAGGGGACACGGGTTCGTGCCCCAGTCCGGGAAGATCCCACATGCCGCGGAGCAGCTGGGCCCGTGAGCCATGGCTGCTGAGCCTGCGTGTCCGGAGACTGTGCTCCGCAATGGGAGAGGCCACAACAGTGAGAGGCCTGTGTACCGCAAAAAAAAAAAAAAAAAAAAAAAAAGAAGGGAGAAAATATAATCCAAGAAGGGCTTCTCCATGGTTGTCTCAGCTACAGATGCTTCAACAAAAATAAGAATCCAAGAAAACAAGAGCTCAAAGACAAGATAACAAATCAACAGAATAAGGTGAAAAGATTGCAGAGCTGAGGAAACAGACAGAGTCAAATGACACCAAGACAGCTCTAATAAATAAATTAGAGCAGTAAAGAACAGAATAGACAGGGCTCAAAACTGAATAAGGCACAGAGTAAAGGTCTGAGATTATTTCAGTGGATGCAGGAAAAAACAGAAAAACATCATCTCACTTACTCAGGAGAAATGTGACAGATATGGAAGGCAAAGGCAATGAAATAAAGAATAACTAGTTTCCTGAAACAGAAAATCCAGTAAGTGTAACAGAGAAAATATTCAGAAATACGAATAAAAAAATTTCCCTCAACTGAAGGAAGGAGTAAATCTGGCCTCAGTATTCTCCAAAGCCATGTTCAAAACCAGAAGGCAATGGAGCAGAACTGTCTAAAAAGATCTGAGAGAATTAGTCTGGCCCAAGAATAGTAAATAAATCATGATCTTTTTTTTTTGCAGTACGCGGGCCTCTCACTGTTGTGGCCTCTCCCGCCGCGGAGCACAGGCTCCGGACGCGCAGGCTCAGCTGCCATGGCTCACGGGCCCAGCTGCTCCGCGGCATGTGGGATCTTCCCGGACTGGGGCACGAACCCATGTCCCCTGCATCAGCAGGCGGACTCTCAACCACTGTGCCACCAGGGAAGCCCCATGATCTTTTTCAACTATAGGCGTAACTGGCAGAAATTCTCAAACATGATTGAGTTTGAAAATATAACACCCTCCAGCCCTTGCAATAAAAACCACTCAACAATAAATTCTGCCTTCTACCACTTGTGAATAGGAAAGCCTAGTGGTAAGCACTGAACCCTCTGAAATGTAGAACCCACACTGTAACTGAGGGACTCACGGGTGCAGAATGGAAAATGCTATAAACTCTGGTAAGGAAAAATAAAACTAACAACAAAAAAGTGGGAGCAAGGGAGGGAGGACAGGTGTGAGATAATAGAAAAAAAGATGTATCTATATATACTGAGCCTCTAAAACTTTGTAAATTCCTAAGTGGTAAGAACACCAGGAGCATCTCTTGTTCTAATATTTGGTCTTTGGCCCTATCCCTGACAAAGGGCTCCTGAAACCCTTATAAATTCCTAAGTGATTAGAGCACTAGGACCATCTTTTGTTCTAATGAAGTGACTCTGGGTGGAATCCTGGATGGGGGCTGGTCACCAGAAAGACCAAGTCATGATTAGAAGCTTGGAATTTTCAGTGCCTGCCCCACCCCCTTCTCCAGAGAGGGAAGGAGGGGAGAAAGGCTAGAAATGGAGCTAATAATTGATCATGCCTACATGAGGAAGCCTCCATAAAATCCCAATAGTACAGGGTTTATAGAGTTTCAAAGCAGACGAACACATCCACCCTGGGAGGGTGATGCACCCCAACTCCATGGGGACAGAATTTCCCATTCTCAGCACCTTCCCAGACCTCACCTGAAGCATCTCTGTTCATCTGTATCCCTTACAATATCCTTTAATAAACTGGTAAATGTAAGTAAGCACTTAGGTTTCCCTGAGTTCTCTGACCTGCTCTAGCAAATTAATCAAACACAGCTGGTATCACAGGGAACTGCTTGTTGTGGGGAAAAAATTCCATACATGTGGTGACCAGAAGTGTCAGTGAAGTGTTCTGTGTGACCATATAAAAGTAAAGGAAAAACCCAGGAGGCAAGAACTGAGTTTTTCCCAACATAGGAAGCAAGTAAAACTAAGTTTTTCCTAAACAATAGGAATGGGTAGAAATTTAAGTACTAACTGTCTCATCTTTCATAGCAGGAAGTCAATTTTTCTGTTAAGTATATACAAAATTAAATAAAATACTTTTTGTTTTAAAAGCAATAGCATGCATGACATACCCTATTCTCTTGAAGTTATTTCCATCTAGCTAGTTATCCATCCTTTTAACTAGGTATCTGAAATGAAAGATGTCTAGAATAATGGCCGCCAAAAGTTAACGTTCATCATTTCTGAGAGGTGGGACATTGGGGGGAATAGCTAATGGCAGTTAGGAATCTTTAGGAGCTAAACTTATGAGTGATTTTTTTTTTTCCTTTTCTTTTCTTTTTTGGCCATGCCACGTGGCTTGCGGGATCTTAGCTCCCCAATCAGGGAGTCCTAACCACTGGACCACAAGGAAATTCCCTCTTATGAGTGATTTTTTCATTCTTTTTTCTACTTTCCTCTATATTCTATATTTTGAAATGAGTCCATATATATTGAAAAAATAGAATGCCTCTTCATCATAAAGGATAAAGGACAACTGAGAATGACAAGAAAGAAAAAGACAGAAAGAACTGCCAGAGAGAACCAAGCTTATTTAAAGGCAAAAGAGCAGGAATAGGAATTAGCAGAGAGAAAATGCAGACTGGGAAGCAAGGGCCCTTGAAACTTATAAATGTTGGCATCTACCAATTTCACTAATAAATCCCAACTAAATGATGATAACTCCCAAATTCATACCTCCATCCCCAACCTTTCCATGAACTCCACACTCATATCCCATTAATCAACATTTCCACCAGAAGATCTGACAAGCATTTCAAACATAGTGTGTCCAGAACCAAAACCAAATTTTTGATGTTCCCCCTCCAAACATGCTCCTCTCTCCACCTTCACATTTCACTAAACTCCAGTTAAAACCCTTGAAGTCATCCTTGACCATTTCTTTCTCACACGCCTGTCCTTCCCAGCTTCCAACCTCGGCAAATCCCACTGGCTCCATTTCTATCAAAACATAACCTGAATCCAGTCACTTCTCACCACCGTCTATACTATTAGGCTAGTCCAACCACATATATCTAGACTGGATGACTACAGCAGCTTTCTAACTGGTTCCCAGCTCTCACTCTTGCCCCACATCATCTATTCTCCAAACAGCAGTCAAAGTGATCTTTTCTTTTTGGTTGTGCCACACAGCATGTGGCATCTTAGTTCCCTGACGACCAGTGATCGAACCCGTGCCCCCTTTAGTGGAAGCACAGACCCCTAACCACTGGACCGCCAGGGAATTCCCAGAGTGATCTTTTTAAAGAATAAGTCAGATCATGTCACTCCTTTGCTCAAAACCTTCTAATGGCTCCCATCTTATTCAGAATAAAACCCAAAGTCTCTACTATGCCCTACAAGGTCCTACATGATCTCCTATCTAGGCTCCTGACTCACAGCCTCTGGGTCTACTCTTCCCTCCATGGGACTGTTCTTCTCTCAGTCACAAGGTCCATTCCTTCACTTCCTTCAGATCTCTGTTCCAATCACATCTTTCAGACAGGACTTCCCTGACCTTCCTACTAAAAATCCCATCCCTACATCCTTTTCCTGCTTTATTGAGAGCAGGAAGTTTTTTTTTTTTTCTCTAGGCACAGCCATATCCCAGAGCTCAGAAAAATATATGACACAAGGCAGGTGCTCAGTATTTGTTAAATGAATGAATCAATCTAAGAATCCACTATTTTCTTTTCCTCAAAACACTGAAAGTGTCCTTCTTTATTTCTGATTATCCAGACTACTCTATGCATTACTATAATTCAGGCAAACATTATTTGCTCTTAGTAAGCAATACACGGAAGTTATGAGAAACTCTATAAAGTCCGGGAGTCAAGATTGGTTTCTGGTCAATTCCACTTGTGTGTGTTTGGGGAAGGGGGTGTGCTAGCAAGGGCAGTAGTAGTCACCAGAATCAACTAACCCAGTCCCTGGTATGTGGAAGAGAGCCCTGGTACCTTCTACTCCGTTATAACAGCATGAGGCTTCAGAAACTAACATTGACTTAACTGTACCTGTCCCTGTTGGGTCACCTCCCTGGATCATAAAGTCTTTGATGATTCTGTGGAATTTGGTGCCATTGTAGTAACCTCGACGAGCCAATTCAGCGAAGTTCTTACAAGTCTTTGGAGCATGCTTCCAGTACAGCTCTAGCACAATGATCCCCATGCTGCAGGGGGAGAGGACAGTAGAGCTCCAGTCAAGAACAAAGTCACAGCAGACAAAAACGTTATGGGACTGCTCCATGACTCTTCCTTTTCAAGCTTATAAATCATGAAATTATGATAAATATATTTCATGCTCAGCAAAGGAAAACAACACAATGCAAATAACATAAATACAGATACCTCCTTTGAGTAAAACATGCAGGGGCTTCTGGTACTTCTTTTAAGTAAAATAACCATGGACAACTAAAAATTCTAACACCTTGTATACAGGAAATCACTGATCATTGGAAACCAATATAACCAACCCCTGAATTAGGGGAAAAAAATCTTACACTTAATTTGTAATTTTTTTTAAGTTGGACATTAAAAAATTGGGAATTCAAATTTATTTATACATATATAAGTTTCTGGGTGGGGGTGGAAAGTGGGTAAATGTGACACAGGAAGGTTTTCAGTGAATATCTTTTTTAAGCTTTTGTATTTTTTTTTTTTTTTTTTTTTGTGGCCTCTCCCGTAGTGGAGCACAGGCTCCAGACGCACAGGCTCAGGGGCCATGGCTCACAGGCCCAGCCGCTCCGCGGCATGTGGGATCTTCCCGGACTGGGGCACGAACCCGTGTCCCCTGCATCGGCAGGAGGACTCTCAACCACTGTGCCACCAGGGAAGCCCAAGCTTTTGTATTTTTGAGCTATGTAAATCACTACCTATTCATTTAAAAATTTAATGGGAAAAAAAAAAGGTACAGTTTGTGTGTATTTTAGGAAGGGTACAACAAAGGCAAAATCTGATTACTTCAAAGCTTTATACCTGCCCAATGTGATGAGTGCTTTTCCCCTTGAAGTAGTGCTAAGGAAAAGGAAGAAGTAAGACTTAGGACAGGTGCCTTCCCCTCCATTTCATCACTCACCTAGACTTTAAGCTCCAAGAATGTGTGAACTGAGTCAACTCTGTATAGCCTGAATACCCAGTGCCAAGCACAGTGCCAGCACTCTATCTAGAACATAGCTTTTCTAAAAGCCTTTCTACTGGCAATTCATCCTTCACACTCCTAACATTCAACACGGATTAACAACTACTCTGTGCAAGATACAGTTCTAAGTGCTTTTCCTCTCACGGAGCAACATTCTGGTGGATATTTGTAAAACACAGGGAAGAACTTTTTGGAATGGCAATCAGAAAATACCTATACAAGTTTGAAATGTGCATACCTTTTGACAGCAATTTCAACTGCTAAGTTTCTACTGTATGAAGAAACTTACAAAAATGCTTAAGGATACAATATGTGCAAGGATGTTTATGCCAGTATTTGTCCTAAAAAAAAAAAATATGAGAAGCAATTTAAGTCTTCAAAGAGGGAATGACTAAATTATGAAATATCCATACTATGGAAGGCTGCATGTACTAGTGTGCGAAATAAAAGCAAATTACAGGAAAAAATATATATATATAATATGATCATACAATCTTATTATTGTTTAAAAATAGAACATAAAAGAGATGCCTATGTGTACAGAGAAAAAGATCTGGATGGTCATCCAACAAACTATTAATGGTGTTTTTACAGAGAGGAGTTGCTTTCACTTATTCTATACACTTCTACAACTGCTTGGATTTAAATTTTGATTTATGTTGTAATTAAAAAAACTAACAGGTGAGTTCAGAAATAACATACTTTCAAGTTGAGGCCAGAAAAAGTAGAATTTTCTCATTAAGAAGGTGGGGAAAATGGCCAAGGGGCAAGAGCAGCATCTGAGAGAACTGTGCTCTGATGGAAAAGCAGCATAGGCAAGAATAGAAAGATGGAAAGACGATGGCTGGACCTTGGCTGCTGATGTGAGAACAGCAGATGTAGGGAGAGAGGTAGGCAAAGGCCAGGATGAAGGTCAGACTACAAAATTTCAATTTTATACTGTTGTAGTAGTAAGAAGTTACTTAAGGTTATCTGTCCTACTTTGGAAAGATCACTTTTAACTTTTTCCAAGGAGGCAATGGAATGAATGGGGCTAAAGAACCTAGCACGTGAGGCAGACAGACCAGGCTCCAAATGAGGTTCCCCTACTTACTAGCTACCTGGGTTTAATCGAGCCATTTACTCTGCAAATTTTGACATTTCTCCTGCTAGAACTGGAGAGAAGCTGGAATTTTACCTACATGATCTGAGTTGCTAAGAGGATTAAACTAAATGTGATGCTACACATCAAGGGCATGGCACTAGCTGTTTGTGCTCAATATTATCACTCTTTGATAGGAGAGAATAAATGGGCTTCTTCCTGTGTTCTCCTAAAAATCTGTTTATACAACTGTGCTACTTACAACCTTAATATTTACAAATCTGTCTCCTTCACTATACTGTAAGCTTCTAAAGGCAAGGCTGTGTTTTATCCACCTCTGACCCTCAGATCCTACGTCCCCGGCCTGTAGATTCAATACACGTTAGTTGAATGAAAGGATGAATGAACGGAGGGGTGAGAGGAAGGCAATCGGGCCTCTGTCTCTAAAGTCTCAGCGCGAGTCGGTGCGGAGCTCGGACGCGTGAGGTGGCGGTCCCCACTCAGCCCTCAGGCAGCCCCCACGACCGCGGCTCCACGAGGAGGTCGGCCTCCCGAAGGAGCGCGCCGGGAATCCAGCCCCGCGGCTAAGCCTGGACTCCGCGTCGCCTCCGCCAGCCCAGGCCCAGAGGCCAGACGCTCACCTGGTCTCCAAGTATACGTTGGGCGGCTGCCAGGAGTCTGGAGGGATGGCCGCCATAGCGAAGCTGGCGGAAACCTCCCGTAGCAATTGTTACTTCCGGCGATTCGCCTGGGACCCGATTCGCCGGGTACCCGCCGCCGCTGCACACACTTCCGGTTCCCGCCATTCACCTTTAGCGGTGTCAAAATGTGGATGCTTGAGACGAGGAAGGGGAAGGACCCCCACCTCCAAGGACGAGAATCTGGGGTGCAAGGCGAAAGCAAGCTGTCCGCAAGGACGGAGAAAAGTGCAAGCTGTATAAAAGGTGGCCTCCAAGTGGAGAGAGGCCCTGCCACTCTCCGGACGCTCTGATTGGTTCTTTTAGGCGTGGAAGGCGTGACCAACCAGCAAATCTGCACTTCTATTGGCGTTAAATCCTAACCTTTCGTTTGGAAGAATTCACTAGTCCCACAGTCTAAGGAGAGGAAGAGTGGAAGGGAATAGAGATGAGAGACGCCAGTAACTAACGCTTGTAAGGCGCTGTATATTTACAGAGCACTTGAACATTATAATCTACAGCGCAAAACAGTCATATAAAGTAGATGTTGTTATTCCCATTTTTCAGATGTGAAAACTGAGACTCAGCAATTAAATGACTTATTTGTACATAGCCATACAGCAAATCAGAGCTTCCAGACTCCAAAGGCAGAGTCTGGAGAGAGGGGAGAGGGAAGGACAGGGAAGAAAATGAGAGATAAGGAAAGGGAGAGACAGGAGAATGAAGATCAAATAGATCAGGGCTACAGCAAGGCTTAGAGTGACTGTGGCTGGGATAGATGATGCCCCAAGGTTGTTAGAGTTTGCTCAGGATCAAAGAGAAGCAAAGTAGAGGCAATGAGACAAGGTTTGGAGGAAGGACAAAAAAGAAATGGGGTAAATAAACATATAGTAAATGCTTTGCACACCACTTAATAATGATGGCTAAATGAATGCTTACTTTGTGCCTGGCATCCAGCTAAGGACTACTGTGTACTTCACATTGTTAAAAATCAAACACAAATGGAGCCCAGACTTGGAAATTCCCTGAGCAGACAAATCAGTTTAGTCATACAAGTAAAACTTAATTTAGCTTATTCTGTAAAACAAGAAAAACTTAACTTGGGCCACTTCTTGTTAATGCCTCTGAAAATCATAAACGAAACTTAAACTTCCCCAAAATTAATGTGAGGTAACCACTTTTAACCCATTCCCTATCACTAGGAAAACTCTTAATAGTATAACCAAACACTGTGAAGAATAAACAACCACTGCCTCCTCACTGTATAAGCTGCTTTATAAAAATATACCTTTGAGCCTCTTTCCATGTTCTGAGTGCCCCAGTTTGCAAACTGTTGTGTGTATGTGTGTGTGTGTGTGTGATTGTGTGTGTGCAATAAACTTTTACTAACTACTATTCCAGTGATCCAGTGTTTTACTTCTGCTATTACTGAAATTTTTTTAAAAACTGAGGTACAGGGACTTCCCTGCTGGTGCAGTGGTTAAGAATCCACCTGCCGGGCTTCCCTGGTGGCGCAGTGCTTGAGAGTCCGCCTGCCGAT